GATCACAAAAAGAATGTCACGGTATCACAAATTTAAGAGGAAACAAGAAAAAAAAATACTGACAAACTGAAATAAGAACTAAAAGTTCACACACACACGTAAACTGAAGAATTGTTTACAATTAACTTGTGTTTGTAATCACAGGGAAAACAGTCTGTTAAAAGAAAAAGGTTGAATAATGGATTACTGCTGCAATATTTTTTTATTTCAAAAAAGGTCAGTAATGCCAGAGACCTGGGTACAAAAATGCCATACCCTATGTTGATGAAATAAAAGGAATGACCCAAGAGAGGTTTCCCTGTGAATGAAGTGTCTCCTACTCACTCTCAAAATGTCATTTTAAAACATTTCTACTCATTCTAAAATTTCCTTAACATATGTGGTCCAATATGGGACACTCTACCCCTTCTTACATGGAATGTATTAGATTAAATTTAACCTTTTTCCAGGGTCTCAGAGACAAAATTATGAACATGATTTTCTCACTGGAGACTGAACAGCGAATCAGGGTTGGGGGTGGGGGGGAAATAGTAAGGTACCGATATTTACTGAGCACCTACTATGTGCTTTACTCCCATTACCACACTTAAATTAAATTTTATTCTATCTTCCCAATAAATCTAGACAAGGATGAAGAAATTGACACTCAGAGAAATTAGTCCCAGCCCTCCCAGCCAGTAAGTGGCACTCTCGGAATGAGGCTCAGGTTAGCCCACCAAATCTGAGGGCTGAGCTCTCTAGAAAGGGACATCTCATTGTATGTGCCTAAGCAAAGTAAAACCAAGTGGCTGTGCTTTGGAGTTCTATGACTGTATGTCATATGTTCTTCTTTCCCTGCCATTTTTTCTCACTATGGACAAACTGACTTCTAAACTACCCCCCTCACAATACCTTCCAGAACTCTGGCAAAATTATGCCAAAAAGCAAAATTTATTAGAATCAGGTAAAAATTAATTATAAACAGACTCTGGATGGAGGCCACCTCTACAAATAAAAGGCAAGATTCATTAGAATATGAACTCTAATATCTACTTTGGCTCCCCATATTGGTTTTGGACTCTATGTCAAAGAGATGAGGCTCTCTATGAGTAATGTCCTGTATTACTAAAATGCATTTGGTGACACATTACTATAATGTGCTGCTACTTACAAGAACATGTACCAGAGACATTTTGGCAACACTGGAAAGGAAACACAAAACTGTTTAAGAGTCAGTCTTAATGGAGGCAAGAAATAATGCAGACCAGAAATCTAAAAGACTAAGATAAATTCTAAAATGGTTAAACCTTTGGGTTTGCTAACGTGAGCAGAACAGGGAAGTAAAAGTTAAAAGAAAAAAGAAGGATGTCTGGGTGGCTCAGAAAATTAAGCCTCTGACTCTCGATTTCAGGTCATGATCTCACAGTTGTGAGATCGAGCCCTGTGTCGCGCTCTACGCCAGGCACGGAGCCTACTTGAGATTCTCATTCTCTCTCTCCGTCTCCCTCCTTCTCCCTCTCTCCCTCTCTGTCTCCCTCCTTCTCAAAAAGAAAAAAGAAAAAAAACCCAGGAAATTCTGGCAGATGCATACGGCCGAAAAGAGGCTGAAAGAGGCAATGAATGGAAAATAAAATGTTAGAAACTTAGGAAGTGAGGTGGTGTTAAAAAACTATTATTTTCAGGATGTGAAAATTACAACACAGTTGGCAGTAGAAGAAGCCAGGACACATCAGGCCCCCATAATTCCACATTTTAAAAGTACACAAAACGTTTCTGAGAGCAACGAATCAAAAACATCTCCATCCCAGGGTCACTGTTGGATGCCGCTCTTCTAAGAGCCAGTCATACTAACATTGAAAACACCTGAAACAGTTGAAAAAATGAGTAATTTTTATGCAAACAGAGACATAGAGGAATGAAACAGAGCACCATTATTCTAACAAATTTATTATTTGACAAAGGAAGCATCATATAAATTTTCTTTCTTTCACAGACAGCAAACGGTGTTGGAAGAGCAGGCCAGCAATTTCAGGGTTGGCTGAGATAGGGCTCTAAATTGAATTCAGTTGGGATAAGTTCAGGGGGGTTTGTTTGTTTTTTGCTTTTAGTTCAACTATTTCCCTACTGATTTTCTGCTGGCTGGGTCTGTCCATTTCTATGAAGTGCATTGAAGTCATCAATTAGGATAACGGAGTCAGCCCTTAGTTTCTGCCTTGTGTCCTCTGATGCTCTGTGAGGCTCCTACACATTAAGAACTGTTATGTCTTCCTGGAGAATTGATCTTCCTATCATTATGTAATGTCTTTTTATATCTCTAATAACTTTCCTTACTTTGAAGTCCATTCTGTCTGAAATTAATATAGCTACTTTTGCTTTCTTTTGATTACAGTTGGCATGGTATATTTTTCTCCATTTAGTTTTGTTTTTTATAATGTTTATTTATTTATTTTTGAGATAGAGAGCGAGCGAGCACACGTAGGGGAGAGACAGAGAGAGACAGGCAGACACAGACTCTAAAGCAGGCTTCAGGTTCTGGGCTGAGCTTGAACCCATGAACCATGAGATCATGACCCGAGCCAAAGTCAGATGCTTAACGAACTGAGCCACCCAGGTGCTCCTCCATCCATTTACTTTTAATCTAGAGGTGTCTTTATATTTAAAGTCAATTTCTTATAGACAGCATATAGTTAGTTCATGCTTTTTGATCCATGCTGACAATTTTTGTCTTTAATTGGTATATATACACCACTGATACTCAAAGTGATTATTAATATAGTTGGATTAATATCTACCATAGTCATTACTGTTTCCTATTTGTTGCCCTTGTTCTTTGTTTCTATTTTGTTTTTAACTTTTCTGCCTTCTGTGATTTTAATTATTTTATATGATTTAGCTTTATCTCCTTTCTTGCCTATCAATTATATTTCTTTTCTTCCTTTTTTTAGTGGTTCCTCTAGAATTTGCAATGTACATGTACAACTAATTCAAGTCCATTTTTAAATATTCTTGGTACCATCTTCACAACAATTGTTCCAAAATAAAGAGGTTATTTGTTTAGTACTAATCACAATTCAGTTTTTTCTTTCTAAACTATATACACATTCAGCAATATAAACATTCAAACATTTGGACAACATAAAAATGTATAATTAACAGAAAGAAAAATAACAACGGGGAAATATCTGAAGCAAACAGAACAGAAAATTAAAAGAGTATGTATGGTTTAAAGGTCTTAAGTATGTAAGGGAAACAGTGAGGGAAAAAAAAATTAAGCATGTAAAAGAAAACTGGAATTCATATAAAAGGAACTGCAATGTTCTAAACAATAGTAATAAAGAAAAAGTTTAAACACAGGCAATTAGATATCATCTGAGTAACAAAACCGTTTCAAACAGTACGCAGATGGTTTTGGTGGTGATACTATATGGAAACTCTAATCAAAAGAAACCCCTTCACTTACACAGTATTGGTAGCCACATAAACTGATAAAACTCTTTTTTTAATTTTTTAAATTTTTTATTTATTTCTGAGAGAGAGTGAGAGAGACAGTATGAGCAGGGGAGGGGCAGAGAGAGCGGGAGATACAGAATCTGAAGGAGGCTCTAGGCTCTAAGCTAGCTGTCAGCACAGAGCCCAACACAGGGCTCAAACCCACAAACCATGAGATCATGACCTGAGCCGAAGTCGGCCACCTAACCGACTGAGCCACCCAGGCATCCCAGATAAAACTCTTTTGAAAGTGCTATGGACTAAAATGTGTGCTGCAAAACGCACTTGTTGAAGCCCTAACCTCCAATGTGGTGGCATTTGGAGATGAGACCTTTGGGAGATACTTGGGTGTATACGGGGTCCAGAGAGTCGTACTCATGATGGGATTAGTGCCTATATAAGAGGTGTCTCCTCTGCATCCCCCTCTCTCTGCCCCTCACCCACACATGCTCTCTCTCTCAAAAATAAACATTTAAAATAAATTTTTAAATCTCCATCCCTTATAATCCAGTAATCCTATATCTATGAAGTTAATCTTTGGAGATACTTCAACAGTAATGACAAAGCTGTATACATGAAAATACTTATTAGTTTTTAAACTGGTTAACAATCTAAATGCCTAACAGTGGAGAAATGGATAATTGTGGTGTTCCACTTGATCTAATAGGATACCATTTAAAATCATTACAAAAATTATGTAGACTTATAGGAAATGCTTGCAATAAAATTAAGTGAAAACTAAAAGCAAAATTCTGCAATACGAGGTTACTCATGTAAAAGAAACATGAGTAAGATATAAAAGGATTAGGTATAAACGAATAAAATTAAATTTTTTGGAAAACAATTTTTCTTTTAGTTTAAGATTATAAGAAATAATACTCAAAAATATATTTGCTAGTAACTTTAGACAGGTCTTTTTTTTTTTTAATGTTTTATTTATTTCTAGGAGAGAGAGAGAGACAGCGTGAGCAGGGGAGGGTCAGGGAGAGAGGGAGTCACAGACTGAAACAGGCTCCAGGCTCTGAGCTGGCAGTCAGCACTGAGCCCGACTTTGGGCTCGAACTCACGAACCGCGAGATCATGACCTAAGCGAAAGTCGGACGCTTAACCGACTAAGCCACCCAGGTACCCCAGACAGGTCTTTTTTTTTAAATGTGTATTTATTTTTGAGAGAGAGAGACAGAGACAGAGTATGAGCCAGGGAGGGTCAGAGAGAGAGGGAGACACAGAATCCAAAGCAGGCTTTAGGCTCTGAGCTGTCAGTACAGAGCCGGATGCGGGGCTCAAACTCACGAACTGTGAGATCATGACCTAAGCCAAAGTCAGCCGTGTAACTGACTGAGCCACCCAGACGCCCCTAGACAGATCCTTTCTTAAGCATCAATACATCCTAACTCTTGAATTACAGAGAAGTGTTTCTTTCTGACAGAAGTCACAACTCCCCAAAAAAGTAAGAATGAAATATTTACATTTTAGATAAGAAAACCGTCCATTTTTCTTTACTACATACTTCTTATCGTGTTACTACTTACATAGAGATGGTTTCCAATGCATCTTCAAAGATGTCCTGGAGGGGAACAAAAAATACAGTGAGTTTCTCAAGAATCAAGACTGTGTATATATGCAGGGGCAGGGGGGTGGGAGGGACAGTTTGGATGGGATGCAATAAATTCACTCAACTCCCACTAAGGGACTGTCTTCTAGAGAAATCAAGCAAATGAATTTAAGTGAGGTTTAATCTTTTTTTTTTTTTTAATAATTAAGACTGGTAAAACTAGCAATCAAATGGGGCTAATTTGAAGAGTGTGATTTCTTGAATGGCATTGTCTTTCACTCCTCAGTATCGTTCATCCCAGACACAGAATAAAACAAACTGGATTTGCCCAATTTAGTCTTTTCTTGCTCCGTGGCTGTTAGCATCCCCTGGACCTTCCTGTCACATCTAGCTTCATGAACCTTCTAGTTGATGACACTTCTAGACTTCGTGCCACCACCTTTTCCCCCAGTTAATGTGTACCACAAAAGACAGCCCTTTCCTTCATGCCACTCGTCTGCCTGTTCAAAAACTACAACAGGAGAGAAACTTGAGTGTAGGTATGACACACACATCTCACACTCATACACACTAACTCACACTCATAAACTCAGTCATACACATACTCACAAATACACATCTACTCACAAATGTACATATGTACAAAGCTTATAAAAATCAAATCCAAGCTCCTCATCCAGATATTTGGCACCCAACATTACCTAGTCCAATTTTATTCTTTTGTTTATTTGTTTATTTTGAGAGAGAGAGCGAGCAGGGGGCGGGGGCAAAGAGAGAGAGGAAGAGGGAAAATCCCAAGCAGGCTCCACACTGTCAGCACAGAGCCCAACTCAGGGCTCAAGCTCATGGACTGGGAGATCATGACCTGAGCCAAAAATCAAGAGTTGGCTGTTTAACTGACTGAGCCACCCAGGCACCCCATCTAGTCCAATTTTCAAAGCATCTTTCTCCCTACGTCCATGCCACCAGCACCATAGTTCAAGCACAAGGACTTCACTGGTCTCCCCACTCCCACACTTGACACCTTCCATTCAAGTCTTCACACTACTATAGTTATTCTTTTCTTCTTCTTCCTTTAATAAACTCATGCTATTCCACTGTCTTAGACCTCTTTGCAAGCTTTATTATACTTAGAATAAACCCAAACTCCTTCCCATGATCTAAAGAGCCCTGAACGGCACTACCACCCTCTGGCCACCTCTTCACCCACCTGCATCCTGACTCACTCCATTTCACATGCAGGTCTGTCTTTCTGATCCTTGAACAAGCCAAACTCCTCCTACATCTCTCTTCATTGTTCTCTCCTTCCTAGAATGCTCTTTGCTCAACTCTTCCTGTGGCTGACTCATCCTCATTCTTCAGTTTTCAGCCCACGAAGAGATGGTTTCTAATGACCTTGATTAAAATTACCAAGAATAGCAGCTTATAGCTTCCCATCATCTGATGTTTATATTTATCAGATCATAGATTACATTTATCACAATCTGTGATCCTTTTGCTTACTTACTTGATTATAGGCCACCTCCATTAGGGCAGGTTCTGATTTATCATGTCTAAAGAAAAATCACCAGGGCTTGCCACAGTAGCTGCTCAATAAATACATGTTGCCTAATGAATGAGTAAAAGGAATGCAGACTGTCAAGGCACGGATCACATCACCTCATGCAGAAATGAGGAAAGAGGGCTACAGAACTTTTCCCTTGTGTGACCATTAATACTGAGCAATGTTGAGCCTATACTGAGCTCTATATTTAGGCAAGAAAGGGGGAAAGATGTATAAATACTAAGAAGACACAACACTAAGTTGTGACAGAAGGTCAGACTTTGGGATCCCTAACCCATTAATCTACATTGGGAAGGAGGTAGAATCAACAGCAATTCAATCTTTTTTTTAATGTTTTTTATTTATTTTTGAGAGTCAGAGTGAGACCGCACGAGCAGGGGAGGGTCAGAGAGAGGGGGAGAGAAAGGGAGATACAGAATCTGAAAACAGGCTCCAGGCTCTGAGCTAGCTGTCAGCACAGAGCCCAATGTGGGGTTCGAACCCAGGAATTGTGAGATCATGACCTGAGCCAAAGTCAGACACTTAACCGACTGAGCCACCCAGGTGCCCCAACAGCAAATCAATCTTATCCGCACTCTCCTGGAGCAAGAGCAGAAGCCCATCAGTCAACTACCAGGAGAGAAATGAGCTAAGCCAGAAGTAAAAAGATGCTTCTCTGGCCTCTATTAAAAATTCCCATTCCTTTCTCCAAATCAAAAGTCTGTTGAGGCTGTTGGTATCACAGGTTTTGTCATTTTGAACCACAGCACAATGTCTCACACGTCAGCACGCAGGTAATCATGCGAGAGACGGTGGAGAAGGAAGAAAATCTGCTCTCCTGGACACCAGTCTGGCTGTGATGATCCACTGCCTGGACGAGATACCAGCTCACAGGTGGCCTGGCGTTGCCAACTACCTGGGCTGCATTTTACCAAGTAAGAGGGAATGTAGAGATCACACTCCTGGAAAGCTACTGGGCATGTGTCCCCTAAAGGTTGAGGAAACCTCAACCCAAAGCAGGGCACCCAGCACACACTGAAATACTTACTGAGTGCCCTTAAGGAAGGATAACTCAGGAAGCTAGCTCTCAATTTAAAAGGAGACAAGGCTTTTACTCTGATGCAAGAAATACTCCCTCAGAAGAAGAAAAAATAAGACTATCAAATTAGAAATCATCTTCACTTAAGTACCATCTCCCCATTTTGTCATATGCAGAGAGTTGTCTAAATAAAGCATACTGTACAACATGGGGGCCATAATTAAAAATACTGCCTTGTAGATCTGGAAGTTGCTGAGAGAATAGATCTTAAAAGTTCTCATCACACACAGAGCAAAGTGTAACTGTGTGAGGTGATGGGTGTGTTAACTAACCTTATGGTAATCATTTCACAAATGTACATATATCAAATCATTACATTGTACACTTTAAACTGACAAAATACTAAATGTTAATTACATCTCAAGAAAGAAGCTGTGGAAAATGTTTTTTAGGTTTATTTATTTTGAGAGAGCGAGAGGGAGAGAGAGCGTGTTCGAGAGAGCACAAGCAGGAGAGGGGCAGAGAGAAGGAGAGACAGAATCCCAGGCAGGCTCTGTGCCTTCAGCGCAGAGCCCGACGTGGGGCTCGAATTCACAAACTGTGAGGTCGTGACCTGACCCGAAATCAAGAGTCAGACTGCACCACCCAGGTGCCCAGCTATAGAAATTTTTTAATTAAAAAAAAAAAAAAGTTAAATTCTATTTTTTTCTATTTAGATGAATAATGAAAATTGAATAGAATATCTCCATTAGGAATGGAGAAAATGCACCAGAGTTCTAGGATATTATTCTAATAAATTACAGGAGAGAGGGGGGATAGAGAGAGAAAAAGAGAGAGAGAGAGAGAGAGAACTCTATGAAGGCCAGACACAAGGTGAAATGTTTTCATTTGGAAAAGAGGGAAGGTAAAGAGAAGTACTAAGACTGACTGAGCACCTACCGTGTGCCAGGCATTTTACACAAGGTAGCTCACTTGCTCCTCCTTAATGTACATCAAGTAAATGAAGGCAAATCATAGGTAATTACCTGGCCCATATGACACGGCTGGGAAGTAAAGGAATTGGGATTCAAGCTCGGATCTTTAACTCCAAAGTATTTCTTTAATGTTAAAACCAACCACCACTGGGAACGAAGGCACCTTGGCAGAAGTGGGGAGGGGGATGGGAGAGGAGGGGACAGCATATTGGGGACAGCGTATCTTCTCAAGGTCATACAGCAGCATTGCTGGGCAGGCCCTCCCAGGGATTATTTCATTCTCTAGGAGAATATACTTGTTTTTGTCTTTGCTATTTACTATTGGATTAGAACGTAGATACTGTGAAGTTACATGTTAACATCTAGATTTCTTTTTTTTTTTCTTTTTTTCTTTATTTATTTCTAGGAGAGAGAGAGACAGCGTGAGCAGGGGAGGGTCAGAGACAGAGGGAGACACAGACTGAAACAGGCTCCAGGCTCTGAGCTGACCGTCAGCACAGAGCCCGACGCGAGGCTCGAACCCACGAACCTCGAGATCATGACCTAAGCGAAAGTCGGACGCTTAACCGACTAAGCCACCCAGGCGCCCCTAACCTCTAGATTTCTGAATGGTAGTAAAATCTTAAAGACTATAGCGTTATTACCCTGTAGGATACTACCCACTTTTATGTAAAATCTAGCAATCTTAATCTAACATTGCTTTTTAGGCCTAGAAATACCCAGTTCCACACATATTCTTTGAATCAGTTTACCATCTCAGTGGTTTCTTCCACTGAGGATGTCAAATAAAACTTTGGGCGTGTTCATTTTATATCTTCCTGGGAATTATATTTGTAATTTGTGGAAATTATACTTTGACATTTACACTGATAACATACTCTCTCCCTAGATACCCGCAAATACGGTCTCCCGGATCCTTGGGAAAACTGATGTGGATTCCACAGGGAGAAGAAACAGAGGCCAGAGAAGTCTGCCCAAACGTCCCGTAGCACATACCCGGGGGCCAATGGCTTCTTTTTCCTTCTGTCTCTCTAGATCCCAACATCCAGCTCAAATTCTGTCCGTTTCCTGTCGCTGCGTCTCAAGCTCCTTCCTCTGCGGCCTCCCATCAAGATCCCAGGTCTGGCACTAGATCTGCAAGAGACTGCCTCTCAACAGCCTCCCAGCCAGCACTAAGCATGTTTGCATATATTCTCCACAAGCGTAACGACACTGCTCTACCTGTGGCCTCTCTGCTTCTCCACTCACCACCAACTTCCCGTGCTTCTCCAGGGCTGGGTTTTATTTCCCCAGTGATCACCGCAAGCCGTTTCCCTTAGGCCCCCAGGCCTGGGCAGCCTCACCAGGTGGACTCCAGCTGTAACACATACAGCCAGGGGAGCATCCAGAGTCCTTCAAGTTTAATGACAGCAGAAGAGGAAAGATCATGCCGCTGACAAATATGACGTGCTCCCAG